AAAAAAGGCATGTTGTACACATGATGTTGACAAAACGCTCCAGCAGAGGTTTTTATTACTGCTGCATCTTTGTTGATATCTATGATTGCGCGATTGCACTTCGAAGATTGTCGCTCTAACAGCATCTTCTATAGGGCTTTACAGAACACTGCGCAGATAGAATGATTGTATGTGTATAGTCACTTAATCCACGTACAGTCATATCCCCTATACGTACCGTATTAGAAGGTTTCAATTTATTAACGCAGCGGGACCCTTTGACGACCCGGAGTGAATAACAACGAGAAGGCACTCGGGAAGTGCGAAACCTCCGCACACGCGATCACTACACCTGTGATATTTCTAATGGATGACGTTGACCTTGGCAAAACATCACTCAAAATAAATACTTGTCAAGGCGTGGTGGCGTGAGACGTAATTAATCATCCCCCAGTTCACACATTGTGCGGATGCTATTCCACAGCGCAATGAAATAAATATGATATGATATCCTGCGGACGAAGTGTAGCTCTATAGAGATCAGTGTTCGAATTATACTTAATGACCCTGTGACCTTGGTTCAAGGTCACTCAGAATCAATAGGGTTCCATATCGCTCCATAAGATGCATCTGTGGACAGACACACACACACACACACTCACACACACACACACACACACACACACACACACACACACACACACACACACACACACACACACACACACACACACACACACACACACACACACACACACACACACACACACACACACACACACACACACACACACACTACACACACACACAGGGATCCGGTGGCCGTTTTAACGACGCGGCAACGGCTATATTACGTCTGCCTGGACACCTCGGGCTCATCCAATCACGACCAATAAAACACGGGTATAGTAGTCCTCTGCATAAATGTATTTAGAGTACGCGTGGTGGAATGTAACTGCGCAGATGCGACTAATGCTGATGTGATATAAGGGGATATCTGTCCCGAATCCATTTCGTTAAGAACTCATGCGATCACTAACAGTGCATGTGCGCGGTTTTGTTCTTAGCGGCTAATAGACCACACCAGAACACACAACACAGCGCGGAGTCGCGGTGAAAACGCTTCAGTGCGAGTCCGGATGCGTAGGTTGATGAAACTTGGATAGTGTTTTCATACTATACGTGCCGCAGCATGGGGGAAACGCCGTAGGTTGGTGAAACAACGCTGCAATACATTCGAGCCAGAGCAGCAGCACCGTGAAACACGGATCAGGGGTACCAAGGTAAAACAGTGATGCAGTATTTTGAAAAAGGAACAGTACAATAGTAAACTAAGATGATCAGTTGTCAGTGTAGAGAGAACACCGCAGCAAAGTTGAGAAGTTAGGTCGGAACTCGGCGGTACGCACCGTCGGAGTACATACAACACCACGGCGAGTGTGCGTTTCACGTACAAGGAACAGACAAAATCGTCTGCAGCGTCTCTACCGCAGAGAGGAAGAGATGAAGAGAGAGAAGGAGAGAGAGAATCCGCAAGTTTTCTTAGGCGGATCAACTTTCAATTGCTGCATCTGCAGTACGTTGATGGAATCTGAGGCGTGGGTGCCATATAAGTAAGCGGCGTATAGAGACCGAACCCACATCATTCTATCCTATTCCAATCTCCTTCTCTATCGAACGCTATACTTCTCATCCTCATCCTTCCCTGACGGCGATGTGCGGCGATCCACCCAGGAGGTAGTCTCTCAGCGTTTTTGCGGCCTCTCTCACGACACCGCCCTTCTCATTTAACATATAATTATCCAAACGGCAGGTTTATTCCATCCTATGTGCAGCAGTGAACACTGCTGCTCGCCTCGATTCTCACGTGAACCATGCTTTAATCTCACGCGATCCATACTATCTCGACTTTTTGAATTGCGCACCCATGTACCTAAAGACAACCGTCTCCCCTGATGTAGTAATAACGGCAGTACCTAACCTCCTCCCCCTATCTCCTGATTGTACAGCGAACAGTGCCTAACCTTCCCCTCTCGCGACTGATTGTAATCAACTACAGTGGCTAACCCTTCCCCTAATCTCTGAGTTGTACACTACAGTGCCTAACCCTCCACCCCTCCTCCTCACTGATTGTAACACTTAACAACGATGTCCTAACCCTGCCGCCTCTCCCCTGATGTACAACTAACAGTGACCTACCCTCCCCCTCTCACCTGATTGTACACTACAAGTGGCCTAACCCTCCCCTCTCCCCTGATTGTACACTACAGTGCCATAAACCTCCCTCTTCGCTGAATTGTACACCTACAGTGCCTAACCTCACCCACTCTCCTGATTGTAGCACGTACAAGTGCCTAACCCTCCCCATCTCTCCTTGATTGGTACACTAGGCAGTGCCTAACCCTCCCTCCCGCTATGATTGTACACTACAGTGCCTAACCCTCCCTCTCCCCTGACTTGTACACTACAGTAGCCTAACCCTCAACCCTAATCTCTGATTGTACACTAAGTGCCTAACCCCCCTCTCTCCTGATTGTACACCGAAACAGTAGCGCTAAACCCTCACCTCTCTCTTGATTTTTGTACACTACAGTGCCTAACCTACCCCTATCTCCTGGATGTACATCCTACAGTAGGCCTAACCTCCCTTCTCCCCCTGATTGTACACTACAGTGCCTAAACGCCTCCCCTCTCTCCTGAATTGTAAACACTACAGTGCCTAACCCTTCCCCTCTCCCTGATTGTACACATACAGTGCCTAAGCCTCCCTCTCGTCCTGATTGTATACCTACAGTGCCTAACCATCCCCCTCTCGCCACGAATTGTAACAACACAAGTGCCTATAACCTCCCCAGCTCTCTCCTGATTGTACACATACAGTGAGCCTAAACCTCCCCTCATCTCCTATTGTACACATACAGTGCCCCATAAACCCTCCCCTCTACTCCTAGATTGTATACTAACAGTGCCTAACCTCCCTCTCCCCGATGATATGTAAGACACGTACATGCACTAAAACGATCACCCTCTCATCCTGATTGTACACTAACAGTGCCTAAACCTCCACCGCTCATCATTCCTGATTGTATACTACAGTGCTAACCCTCCACTGCTCTCCTGAATTGTACACTGCAAGTACCTAAACCCTGCCCCTCTATCCAATGATGCATGGGGCAAGATGCCTAAAACCCCTCCATTCATATCTCGTGCCGATTCTGCTGACACCGTGATGAATAGCTTCCACCCCACACACTCCGCCTCTGTGTCACTGCTGCACAGCCGCAGACGGAACGAAGGTGAACAGGGAAGGAAGAACGCAATTGCCATCAGTCTTCGCTCACACTCGCCACATGACGCTCGCAGACGTTGCTACCTACAACTGCGCCCGATGCGCATGCGCTGCTTTCCGCTGACGAAGTAAGCAACAACTCGAGTTTCGGCGGCAAGGCGTGTACCGCGGGGAGCGTCGGCCGGCGATGACGTCGCGTCCGCCGACGTCCGACCTCTCGCATTTCGAGTCACTTGCGATCGCAGACGTACGCAGCGTGTCGCTGACGCAAACCGCAGCGGGAGCGACGACGCGACGCTGGCCGCATCGCGGTCGTGAACGCACGTTCGAACGCACGATCGCGTCCGCCATCAGTCGACAGCGTCGGACTTGTCAGCGTCCGTCGCCGACGACATCAAAGCGTCGTCAGTCGTCGTCATCTCCCGTTCGCGCAAAACGTGCAGCGCAGCCTGGCGATCCGGCGCGACGTGCGCGCACCGAGACCGCATGACGCAGGCACGGCCGTCTGCGATCGTGGTTCCTCGGCTCGCAAGAACGCGAACGCGGCAAGCGACGCACGCGACGCTGACAGCACGATGGCGGGCGACGTCAACGGGCGACGTCAGGTTCGCGTCGACGTCCAGCGAGGGATACTACAAACATCACGCACAGGCGTACTCATGCTGCGCTGGCGAACGCACACTGCAAGTAGGCGGCCCTACTACGTGATGAAGACCGACGACGACTGCGTAACGTGAACGGTGCGTCGGCTGTCGTCGGAGCTGCGCCGCAGCACAGGCGCCCGCGACCGTCCGCTACTCTCGCCACCTGCTCGCCAGGGGGCGCCCGCGAATCCGCGAGCCGGCAGCAAGTTATACATGCCCTATTCAAATAGTACGCCACCGAAGAAGACTCCGCGAGTTTGCCTTTGCCGGTATCACGTTACGTCATGTACGATAGGGCGTCCGCGCGGGCAGCCCTCTAACGCGCAGGCGCAGCTGCGCAACCCACTGGTGTGGTTCGAGGACAGTGTACGATGACGGGCTGTGCGCGAGAGGGCGCTGGCATCGCGCGCAACAGACAGTCCGACTGTTTCGAAGAGCGTTATTGACAAGCGTGCGAGGACGGGTTGGGCAACTGTGCGCGCGGCGACAGAAGCAGAAGCATCTGGCCGTACAGAGAACAAGTGTCGTGAGTTTCATGAAGAGTGACTCGCCGAAAGAACTGAACTTCCTCTGGCATAAGCTAGAAGGACGCTCGTTACGAAGTGCATAGGCGGTGCAATGTATAGGGAGTATGTGATTATTTACTCCTGAACATATCATATATATATCTATATATATATTATATAATATATA